TCCTGGCTCCTGAACTTGCAAGCACTCACTCTGACTCAGTATGCATCAGTTCACCAAGCACTGGCAGAGCCCCCTGTGCTGTGTGCAGACCCCAGGCCAGGCTGAGCCACTCGAGAGAGAGGCGGCAACTTTTCCAGGGGCTCAGTCAGGTGGTGGAAACAAAACTGTCAGCCACTATCTAGGGTATGATTGTGCAGCTAAGACAGAGGGATGGGTCTGCTGTGGGAGGAGCGTGCAGAAAGCACAACTCCTCTGCCTTAAGATATGGAAAATGCCCTAACACTGTAAGCTGCAGAAGAAAGGAAAGGACATCTTGGGGAGAAGGACGGCAGGGAGAGCACGAGACTGCAAAAGGTACATCAGGGTCAAATTTGGTCTGCAGGCCTGGGGTTTTCCAGTTCTTCTTTAGCCACAAAACCCTGATTTCAAAGAAAACCTAGACAGAGTCTATTTTTTTCTCCTTTAGGTTTTACCATAGGGTGCGAGCACTTGCCAAGTGGAGAGAGACAGAGAGATACAGAGAAAGAGAAAGTGAGAAATCACTTCCCAGTAGGGATGGCCACGCTGTAGTCCCTTCTTCTTTATACTTCTCTCAGGATGCTGGGCGCACATGCACACGTGCCCAGTATGATTTCAATCCACCAGGTCCGGGACTCGAACCATGGTTGGTCATGTGGGAATCCAACTGCCTTAACCACCATATCACCTGTTGGCCCCAGAGTCTACATTTATAAAACAGAGACTTCTCCAGCTGATGAGGGGAAGGGCACTGGGGGAAGAAGCAGTATTCTATCTTGGCTACCAAGCTCAGCTCCACTCTTACTTCACAAACTGCCACTTACAGGTTGATATTAAACACTTGGCCTTGGTCTTCTCATCTGGAAACACACAGATGAGATGACACATGGAATCCTGAGCACTCAGAAAATGTAAATTGTCTTTGTTGTTACTGTTGTTTAGGTTCAAATAACAAAGAGTTCATTCATGATAGTTTTTATTAGCAGAGAAACGACAGGGCAAAGATCTATGCTTCAGCAACATGATCAAGATCTGATTAGCAATTAAACATCTCACATACACTTTAGTTTCCAAATATTTCCAGCACGTACACCTAAAACATGCTCTTTTTTCAGTATTCATTCATTTAATTCATAGCTTCATTCAATAACTATTTACTAGGCACCTATTACCCACCAGCCCCTATGGCAGAAACAAGGGACACAGCATTAAACACACACAAATGTACAGTCTGGCAAGGAAGCCAGTCATTAAACAAACATGTGCACAA